GCTAATTGAACAATAAAACAGTTGATTACTGGTCTTCAATATGGATTGAGGCTCAACATCAAGAGATCAAAAATTCACAAAGAAGAATGGGTGAGTCCTGTGGCTCCCAGCCCCCAACTGCTGAGCCCACGCTGCTGCGGCAGCTCCATGAAGCTCCCGCAGCTGGATCCCAGGGACACCCTCACCTGGGATGGACGGCAGGCACTGGGCCCCAAGGCTGGTGCAGGAGAGCCTCCACACTGTCACAGAATAGACTTGGAACCAAGATGGTGGTGGCAGGAGACATGGCTTGGTGAGCAGAAGGCCAGGAGGGCGTCGTTGAAGCAGGCAATACAACTTAAATATGCCCAAACAGCCAAACAATTGACTGCTGGTCATCAGTCTGGACTGGAACTCAACATCAGGAGGACGGTGGTTCTCAGGGGAACATGGATGGGTCCCACTTCCTCCCTCTGCCTGCCGCCAAGTCTGTGCTGTCATGACCCCATGCAGCTGCCATGGCCAGGCCCCACGGGGCTCCTAGCCTAGACTGGGTGGTGAGCATTGGTCCCCATGGCTGGTGTGGTGGAGCCCCTGTGCAGCTGGAGAGCTGCAGGCACCCAGCATAGGAGTGGGGGGTGGTGGTGACGGCAGCAGCGGTGGTGCCATGGAGCCGTGGGAGATGAAGGCCTTGATAAGGGAAAGCATTTCGCTGTCAGTAAAGATTTCCTTGGACAGACCAGAGAAGAAGATCATCAACACAATGGAATGATAAGGGTCGCTATGAGTTGTCTACAACTTGATGACACTTAACAACAGTAACATATCCGAGATGGGAGATATCCTCAATACACCACATCTTTTGATCTCTTGTCTACTGCTTCCAAGAACTGTTTAGACCTAGGGAGGATCTGTTGACCACTCTCAAATCCCCTTCTCGATTTATAAAGGGGGAGGGCAGTGATGCCTACTTCAAATTGCAGTATGACCACTTGGAGGGGAGGGGGGTAAAGGTGGTGCCAGAACTGGAGGCGCTGTACCTGGCTATGGTCTTCAGTGAGGCACAGGGTCCAGAACTTGGTGGGGGGGGGACTTCAGTAGAGGAGTGTACCATCCAGTCCCTGGAGTGTGCCACCCAGCCCTTGGGGTGTGTTGTTCAGTGCTTGGGGTGAGCCATTTGGCCCTGGGGGTTGGGCCCTCAGGGTGCACTTTCTGGCCCCTGAGAAGAGCTATTGGGTCCTCAGGGTAAGCTGTTGGGCCCTCGGGGTGTGCCATCCAGCCCCTGGGAAGAGACTTCAGGTCACTGGGGAAAACTGCCTAGGGTATACAGAGAACTTTTTTTTAGGCCACTTCCCCTCACCTTCTTCCCCAGTATACCTCTAAGTAACACCTCCAAAGCTCTTCTATTTGTAACTCACAAGTTTGTTCTCTCCAGGTTTGCTCTCTTTTCTACAGGTAACCTTAACACTTGAGTTTTACTCCAGACTTGAACCCTGAATCCAGTTCCAGAGACTAAAGGGGACTGAATATAACTGTCAGCTAAGGAAGCAAAGGAGGATGGAGCCTCAGGGTTCAGCCAGGCATCCCCACTGGATGCACCTTGGCAAACACTTTGCATTCTAGAGGGCAGTAAACGTCAGGAAAATATCTTCTAACAGAACAAGAAGGCAAGCAGCTTCAACTCAGGACCACCAGTAAGGTGTTAAAGTGGGCTCCCCTAATCCCCTTTCCCCTTCACATCAACACACCTGTTCAGCATGAAGAAGCCAGAGAGTCTGCGTCCATTCCCAAATAAGAACCCACAAGTGAATAAGGCAATTTCTTTGTTAAAAAAAATTAATCAACATTGGATTATGCTCACCATTACCTTATCTCTTCTGGTCCCCACTATATCTTTCTCATTTCCTTCACCTGCTCCCCCGGCCCACCAAATTGTGCAGCCCTGCAATTTCATCCCTGCCCATCCTCACCCTTCTGCTCTCAACCCTCAGCCCCTTGTA